AGCCAGCCCTGCTCCCCGCCAGCCGATTCTCCCCCAGCTAGTCCCACTACCCCCGATCCGCCTCCCAGCCAGCCCTGCTTCCCACCAGCCGGTTCCTCCCCGGCCGGTCCCCTCTTCCCCCCATCTGAGATCAAGTATGTCCGGTATTTTTTTGGAAGCCATCTGGTAACCCTAGCTCTGGGTCCCGCTGCTGCCTGCAGTGGGGGAGCGATCTCTGGTGCCCTCCCATGCCAGGCCCCCCAGGCGATCCCGACGGGCTGCCTTGTGCCCCAGGGGTCCCATCTAGAGAATGGTTGGGCTGCTGGTGCGAGGCCCCCCGAAGCAAAGGGCCTGGGGCAACTGCCCCAAACCACTCTAACGAGGGCGGCCGCTCAGCCCCCCGGTAACCCCGATCGCTGCGCTGGGTGAAGCAGCAGGGCCCAGCCACTCTCTCAGGAGTCCCTCGATCCGCCCAAAGCAGCCGAACAGTCACACGTTCGCCGCTCACACTCCAGGGGTTCCCTCGTGGCTGAGCCCCGTGGCCTGTGGAGAAGCAACAGAGGGGGTGGCGAGGGCTGGGGGCTGAGGAAGCAGCGGGAGCTAGTGGACCGGGCTCTCGAATAGACCTCGGGGTTGCTGGGCTCTATTCCCAGCCAGGCCTGTCTCCCATAGGTACATGCATGAGCCCCTCAGTCTTGAACGTGTGTCCCTCCCAACACCCGGCAGGCAGAGCAGGGCTGCCCGTGGTCCCTCGCAACAGAGGGGGTGGCGAGGGCTGGGGGCTGAGGAAGCAGCGGGAGCTAGTGGACCGGGCTCTCGAATAGACCTCGGGGTTGCTGGGCTCTATTCCCAGCCAGGCCTGTCTCCCATAGGTACATGCATGAGCCCCTCAGTCTTGAACGTGTGTCCCTCCCAACACCCGGCAGGCAGAGCAGGGCTGCCCGTGGTCCCTCAAGGCTGCACTGGAAGTCGGGGGCACCGCAGGGAGTTCACCCCCCAAGCCCACCGGTGACTTTGGACAGGTCCCATCTCTGCCTGCTTCCCCTCCTGCCCCTCGCAATCCACGCTCCCCACGCGCGGCCGAGGAGAGGGAAAACTCACCCCCCAGTCTGGGCTCAGCACCTGCGTTGCTCCAGTCATCGGCCAGCCCCCACCCCCAGGCGTCGTGTGCCCACCTCCTAGGGCCCTGCCAACACCCCCCACGCCACCCAGCTGCTGGTTTTACCGACTGATTGCTTAACTGGTGCTTTCAAAGGAACAAGATCCTGGGGAGGGGGACACCCCTTCACTGGGAGGCACCAGATCCTGTGGGGACAATGGAGTCTGTCCCTCTGGGACCCCATTTATCTAGAAAACAGGCACCGACTCCGCCCCAACCCCTATCCGACCCTACCGAGGACTCTGGCTATGGAATCAGGTGGCTGGTCCCTGCCCCGTCTATGCCGCCACGTCTTCACTGCAGCTGTAGCCCACACTAATTAGTGTGAAGCGACCCCGGCATTCGACCTTCCTTTGCGATGCAGACACCCCCAGACTGGAGCCGGACTGAGCTGCTCCTGGCTCAACCAGCAGGGGGCGCCACGG